TTGTTGTTGTTTTGGTACTAGGGATTGAACCCAGGGGTGCTTAGTCACTGAGTCACATCCCTACCCCTTTTTACTTTTTGAGATAGGGTCTCCCTAAGTTGCTTAGGGACTCACTAAATGGCTAAGGCCAACCTCAAACTTGCAATCCTCCAGCCTCCGCCTCCTGAGTTTTTGGGGTTACTGGTGTGTGTCACAGTACCTGGCATTATTGTTATTTTTAAGATCTCAATCACTTCTCAGAGTTATCTCATTAGGCAAGTCTTATGAGGCTATTATTATGAAATTTGGTCCAGACCAAAACCCAAATGCAGGCAACCTGTTTAGGTGATTAAGATTAGTTTATTATGAATAAACTATCACACAGGCTAACTAGGGTTAAAAGCAAACACTCAATGCAACACTGCTCAATGAAAGACAGCTTTCCAAGTATGTATGTATGTATGTATGTATATATGTATGTATGTAAGATGTGTGTTGCTACACTGGATGATATGCACCAAATAGAACATAAGGCATCATATCATGAGATTTGAATGGAACTGGCTCAAATCCCAGTTCACGTGCAGTGGAACTAATATATATCTCTTCCTAGCTCTCTGGGAATTTTAAGAGTATGATTTATGCTCTTCCAGGTTACTTCTGGCTCCACACTTTTGTTCTTGCTGAGTTATTTCATCTGTGGATCATTTTGCTGCCCAGCATGCAGTGCTTGTTTACACCATGTTTCAACAGAGTGGGAAAGAAGGCCTTTTCCTTGACACCCCTCACAGAACATCACTGGATTGGGCTTTTGTGAAAGTAGTGGAAACTTACGAAAGTTTGGAAGTAATAGAGCGACATTATGTTACATAATCACAGAGCAAAGAGCCATAAATGTTTTAGCTGTTAACTTTCTTAAAAGCACTTTGGCTGACCTCACTTGTCACCTATTTTAGTCAAGCAATAGGGGTAGAAGTTAAGCAGGAAAGGAACTTATTAAAATTTATTGGGGGAAACTATCTTATAAAATCTCCAAAAAGACAAAAAAGCCAGGTTGGAGATCTTTGTTTCCAGTAATGACAGGCAAAATTGTAGTGCAGGACTAGTCCAGTGAAGAAGTCTCAGCCACTCCTTTGGGCACTAAATTATATCAGTTTGCACAACCGACAGCTCTGGATGCAATGTCTGCTACTGCTCTTGTCACCTCTTTCCAAATTGTACTCTCCACAGAGCCTGCTTTAAGGCATCATTAGTCTTCTCTTCAACATTTAGGGTGGATACTTTTCATTGGTATTACGTGGGCACATGACCAGACTTTAGCTGCAAGAGAGACTGGAAAAGTAGTCTCTCAACACACAGAGATTCTCAATCCAAGGAGGCAAATTGTTTATGACACATGCTCTCTCTGTCAATGTTTCTTGAACTTCAATGTGAGCCATGTGAAAATCTTGTTAAAATGCAGCTGATTCAACATAAGTCCAGGGTAAGGCCTGAGGTTATATTGTACCCAAGTGACTTGAAGTCACTGGTCTGAGAATCACTTTGAGAAAAAGATTTTACAGCATCCACTTTCAAACTTGGCTGCATGTAAGAGTAATTTGAGACACATTAAAAAAAATCCCAACAACTAGTGATATCTGGGTTTCGCCCTCATCTAATTTAGTTGGTCTGGAGTGAAGCATGAGCATATGAATTTTTAAATGCTCCCCAAATGATTGAAAGGTACTGTGGGATAGCACTTGTAACTGAAGTCTCCAACTTCTTGTCATTTTCCAAGGCTATTTCTTTTCTCTACATCCAAGAGTTCCACTTTCTCTGCCTTGCTTGGCTTTTTCCCCTTGAAATTCAATTACTCTTGAACAACTGCAGAACACTTTGACACCCTACCTCTTAGTCTTTTGGCCTTACCTCTGCATATCTAAAAACTAGTTCAAGAGTTCTGCTAATCTAGTTTTCCAAAAGTGTTATCAATTGCCCTGAAAAAGTGATTTGAAGAGGTGCATACACATTGTTGTAAATTTAGTCTTGTTGTAAGTTCTATATTTGTATAATTTTAAGGTGCATTGCAAGTAATACAATGACTCCAATTTCACAAATATTATTGCTTACAATAACAGTAACTGTAGTCATTTAAAAATAGGTAAAACAACTTTTTTTGCTATTCAGACCAGACACACCAAAAAATAATGAAAATGATCTGCAAATGAATTAAGTTCCAGAGTGCCTATACCTTTAAGTAAGTTAAGTAAGCCTTTGAGTTCAAGTCCTAGGCTTTGTGAACACAGGCAGAGATTTTAAAATAGCAGCCTTTTTTCTTCCTCTACTATCAATCTCTGAAGGATAAGGAAGCAATATCTTTATTTTTGAACCTAAATGAATTATGCTACTAATCTTAACACACCGAAATAGTTACAGTCAATTTTGACTTTAAGCAACCATTCTTTTCCTCCATGAAGTGAAAATTTCATTAGGTTTCAAGAAAGCACCTCCAACCTTTGAAAAATTCATGATTAAAACAAATAGCTAAGAATCACTTTTGGAAAATGAAATGAGAAAAAGAGGGTAAATTCCTTAACCAGTTAATCTTTGACAAGAAAATAGATGATAGTTTTTAAAATTGTTGAAAGTTAATACACACATCCAGAAAGCCCTAAAACTCTTTAAGTGAGAAAAAAATTTTAAAACTCCACATCCTAGTCACACAATTGTGAAACTTCAGAACACCACAGAAGAACATTTTCTAACCAGCAATTAGACTGACAGCAGATTTCTCAGTAGCATTAGAAAGCACAAGATAACAGAATAATATGCTCAATACTCTGAGGGGAAAAAACCTCACTGTAAACCTAGAATTATACATCCAGTAGAATTATCTTGAAGGAATAAGGGCAATACAAAAATTTCAGGTAGGAAAAAAAAACCAAGAATTTATCATCTCATGCTGTCATTCAAGGAAATCCTAAGAATTTACTACAGGCCCACGGAAAATAATGCAGAAAGATTTGAGAAATGCAAAGAAATGATAAGCAAAATGTTGTTTTATATGTGGGTGAGATCTAAAAAACATGTCTAATTTATAGGAGGAAGACAGAATAAAACTAAAATAGTGAATAATGTAAATTGGGAAAGGGGTGTGCAGAGTTAAAATATGCTGAGGCCTTTGCATTAAGCAAGAAGAGAGTAAATATATTTTAAGTTTACATGTTCAAATAATTACTCAAAAATATACCTAACATATTACTCCAAATAAGCTATGGGGAGGGGAGGAAGATATGAGAAAAAGAAAACACAACTCAAAAAAGCTTTTTCTGTAAGTTTTTGACATTTTAACTTTCTTTGTTGCATGATTCTCACTCATGGTAAAAAGTGCTTTATAATTTCTTATCGTGAGCTTATCTTTAAAGAGTCCTTTTCTTTGAGAATCCTTTACAGCCAAGGTTGTAGAAGTATCCTCCAAGTTGGTTTTATGCTTGCTTCTGTAGGCATTCCAGAGGCAGCATGTCTGTGCTCTTTTTGTTTGGGGGGAGGGCAGGGATGATAGGGTAATAGGGCCAATTTCTTCATTTTAAAGTGCTGTAAATTTAAAAGCCAAACTCTTATGAAATGCAGGCCTAAGTTTTCAAGATTTAATCAGACTTAAATGATTTTTCTTTCTTTTCATCAGAGTTTCCTCATCCATTCATGGGTATTTTCTGTTTTCCACCTTCCCTAGTCCACCCTTCTTCTGAGGATGATGCCTTTCAGGGACACTGACTTTATGCAGGGTGCTCAATTCCAGCTCTCACTCAGCACTACTCCAAGTCCTTACCTCCTGCCAGTTTACATCTAGGCTTGGAGTTACAGAGATTAATAACACCTTGCCCACACTGAGGATGACCAACCCTTCTTGTTTGTTTGGGCTGTTGGTGATTTCCAGTACCAAAACCAGTAAAGTCCCAGGTAAACTAATATGACTGGTCATCTTACAACCCATCCCCCACATCCAGGGCCATAGAAGAAATAGTTTGTCACTGCTTCAGTTTTCAGTCTATCATCATTTTTGATTTGATTTCCCTTCATCTCTTATGGGTTTAGCTATTTTTAAAAAAACACATTTAAAATAAGGTTAGTTATTATTTTATCCAGCATTACTGTACTAATAAAAGCTTTCCTGTTATAGAAATCCACCATTTTGAAAGCTCTTAAAGTTTGAAAATAAAGTCATAGCCAGTTATTCCTGTGTTTGGAATGGTTCCCAAAGTTGTATGGTTGGCTCCATCAACTGCCCCACAGTTTGTCCCTGCTGGAGGCCCTACTTCTTCAACCTTAAGAATGTTCTAGAATTCTCTAGGCAGGGGCCTAGCGTCTTCCTGTGAAGCCTAGAGAGTAAAAGCTCCCATTACAATCTAAACTCCCCAAGACTTAGAAGAAATGTTGTGTTCACTCTGCTGTACTTGGTAATCTTAATAACTTTCTCAAAACAATGAAGGTTCTGAAAGCCATACTGGCAGATCTGTCTGGAATTTCCTCCAATCCAACCCCATCTACCTCAAAATATGGCAGAAAAGCATCCCAGTGTCTGCCCTGTTGGTTTCTCCTACCTTGTTTCCCACAAATTTGCTCCCATTTTCTATTTCTGTAGGCATTTTGATAGTTTGGACCGGGCAACTGAGCTAATCTTGATCCAACTAAGTTCACGCGTTCAAGACGCCATTTTGAAGCTACAGTCTAGACACAATTATTATTTTTTAATTTTAACATATATTTAAGTAGGCATGCTTATTTCGAAGGGGCTTCAAAGACATTTTTGAGGTGACCTGCATCTGTGTGTCTGTCTGTCTGTCCACCTGTGTGAGGACAGTACTCGCCAGGGTGCCTGACACCGGCCCGCGCGCACCCCCTGCGTACCCCCTGCGTACCCACTGCAAACCCCCTGGCTTGGACCTGACGTCCCCCCTGACTCCCCCCGAAGGGGGCGGGGGCGCTGTCACCCATTGGCTGAGGCGGCTGCCACGCGCCCCCATACTCGGCGCAGGAGCCACCTCCAGGAGCCCCGCAGGCCACGCCTCAGTCCGTCGGCGCCCCTCAGCCTGGCCGCTCCCCTCCAGGGCTACTCAGCCTCGCTGCTGGCCCCTGGTTTTCCTCACACCTCTGGCTTTGGCTCTGTTGCCGCTCAGAGGCCGGGCAGACGCGCCAGCAGGCCTCTCAGGAGCCTAGAAGTGCAGCCTCTGTTTCCCCGTCGAGCCGAATCGGCGGGAACTGCTGGCTGCCGCCATCATGGTAAGTTGAGGGAAAGGCCTGAGCAGCGCATGGCCGGCGGGGAATTGGGCCTTTGGAAGAAGGGCGTGAGTAAAAGCGGGGCTGCCCCAGCTTTCCTTGTTTGGGTTGCCTGCTCCACATGCCCCATGCGGTGGTGTGCAGGGCGAGGCGGCCTCCTAGCTTCGGAGTGGCCGACAGGCGGAGTGGTGGGATGCCTGGGGCGTGGTGGCCGTGAGGCCCTGGGAGCCTTCTCCCCCTCCCCCCACCACGTGCAGGGCCCATGGCTTCGTGCAGCGGCTTCTTCCCGCCTCCGCCTACGAGGCTGTGCAGCGTTCGTGCCCGCCCGAGGTTCGGGGCACCGGGCACCCCACTCCGGCCCCACCCCATCCTCTGCAGTCCCCCATTTCCGGGTGGAGGCTGGCGGCAGCTCCTTCCGCGAGGTAAAGACTGCAGACTTGGCGTGGCCGTCTCCGCGAGGTGCCGTCGGGCCTGCGGCGTCCCTGGGGGGGGGGGGAAGTCGCTTATTTGGACGTGGAGGGCAGCAGCTTCCTCAGGAAGCGACTCTTATGAGAGGTGGGATGGGGTTTTGTGCTCGCACGAGGAGCTGCCCACAAAGCCGTCCTGAATGCGCCGTCCACGAGCTCGGGGCTGGGGGGCTGGGGCCAGAGGACCCTTGAGGCTCCTCGCGCCTCCGCAGAGGCTGGTGGAGACCTGCTGATGGTGGCGCCCTCGTGGGGCCAGACCAGGCACAAAATGTCGGCTGACGCCATAGTTACCGCATGAGATTGGATCCCGAGGTTTACTCGTCTCGATAAATCGGAAGTTTTTAGTAACACATGCATTTTGTAGGTATTCTGTGGTGTGCTATGTACGAGTTTTTATAAATGGCAGTTTTTTCCCCACCACACAACCTGTTGTAAATTCATTGACCGACCATTAAGTCACAAACGTGTGTATTACATATTGCATCCTCATTTGTATAATTATTTCTATTTTAGAGGTTTAGGGAGGAAATTTTTATTATCACAAGGATTAAAATGATGATGTATAAATACGTAAATATTTGCAATAATTATTTGTGTAATATGTAGTTGTCCATGTTGATAATTATTTAATAATCAACCAAGAGTTCTTTTAGTGCTAAAATTTTTCAAGTGAGAAAATGACAATTGCTTTTCTGATTACAAAGTATTTACTCATTTGAAAATAATCACAAAAAAATGTAGAAATCTTCTTCAGTCCCAGCAACTACAACCATGTAAATTTTGACACATGTATACCCTTCTAGATTATTTATATGTTCATATTGCATATAGGTAGGGAAGTTTTATTTTACTGAAGTTGTTCTATATCATATATAGAACAGCCTAAATCGTTAATATAGTTTGGCATTGATCCAAAGATATATTTAAAATAATTTTAAGTATATATAATGTTAAGTCTTATACTTTTCCTTACTACCCTGAATTCATGGATGGATAATTTTTCAGTGTTAACACTGTAACAGATATCCCTGAACAAATATCTTGGTAACTTGTACTATTAATTCCTTGAGATAAATTGCCAGAAGTGGAATTTTGGGGTTATGCTTATTTCATAATTATTTTAAATTACAATAAGTTTTTTCAAGCAACTCTTGGTATGCAGTTTCCAGTTTGTTTTCCCACTGATTGTGTTTAAGGTGATCTTTTTAAGTTGCCAAGCTAACAACTGGAAGATGTTTCACTATGTTAATGTGCCTTTTAAAAAATCATTGGTAAAGTTTTATCACTGATTATTAGCTTTTAAAATTTATTTTTTTGTAAATTCTGGGTCTACCTTTTTACTTACATTTTTTTCTTCTTATAAAAATTGTCTGAACATTAACCCCTTGTCATACAGTGTAACTTTGAAATAATGTTTGAATATTGTGTTCACAGAATTGAAAACTTGGGACTTATATTTGGTGATAGGTTAGAATTAGACTGATAGAAAATAAAGATGCTTATACATTTTTTTAAAGAGTTAGGAAATGAATGCTACATTTTAGATTCTTTTTTCAGTGATGAATTAATTTTTTTAGTTGTAGATGGACACAATACCTTTATTTTATTTAGTAATTTTATGTGGTACTGAGAACCCAACCCATTGCCTCACACATGCTAGGCAAGTGCTATAACACTGAGCCACATCCCCAGCCCTCTGATGAATTAAAATAACAGATTTCCTAGGAATGAACCATCCTTGAATTTCCAACACAAACTACTTAATTATGGGATTTTAAAAAATATGGTGCTAATTTTGCATCTCTGTAAGTGGGCAAGGGTATGCTATCTTAATGAGGCTTTGTTATTTAGACAATGTTAGCTTTATCAAATCCATTGAGAAATCTTCTTTTTTCTGAAAAAATTTTTCCCTTCTTTTTACCCCCTTGAAATGGGATTTGAACCAGGTTCTCCCACAAGCTAGTCAGACACTCTTACCACTGAGCTACATCCCCAGTCCTTCTTATTTTGAGAGAGGGTCTCCCCAAGTTTCCCAGGCTAACCTTGAATTTGGGATCCTCCTACCTCAGCTTCGCAAGTATCTGGAATTACTGCTAGGTTCCCCACTACACATGTCTCTAAAAATTATTTTAGGAAAAGTATTTGAATTTAATGTCTTTCTCCCTCTGCCTTTTCTATCTATGATTGTTTTTGCTTTCTTGGAGCGTGAGACACATACACTAATGATTGTTTCTATATGGTTTGGAAAACTAGTGAAACTGATCCAGGTATCCTCAAGTGATTGTTCTTTTAACATTATTTTGTGAAGATTTATAAAGTTAGCCATTTCATTCAAAATTTCCACATTTATTCCCATATAACATTCTTAGAACCTATGGTCATACTTCTTTCTCATGTCTAATACATAAGTTTGCTTTCTTGCTGATCTTTATCAGGATCACTTATTTATTGCTTATTTATTCCTGATAAAATTTTGGTTTTGTTTAGTTTTTATCCTGTTTTCATTTCCTTAGTTTAATCTCTTGATAAGTTCCTTCCTATTGCCCTGAATACAACTTTGAGACTACAAGTTAGACTTTTTCCTAGTCAGTATGAAAGATATCAGGCTGCTTACTATGTAGACATAATTAACTGGATTAAATAATGTCAAAAGTGCAAACATCCACATTTAATAATGGTAATTTTTTCAGCTTTTAGTTTTCTTTGTCATGGATGTCCAAATATAATGGAATATCAAATGGCTGTGATGAGAATTGTATACATGATGGCCTTCACACTTACCCTTACTTACTATCCTAAAATTTCTCATTTCAAACCCTACCAAGGGCTGGGATTGTGGCTCAGTGGTAGAGCGCTTGCCTACCACAGGCGGGACCTGGGTTCGATCTTCAGCACCACATTAAAAAAAAAGAAAAGAAAGGCATTGTGTTGTGTCCATCTACACCTAAAAAAAATAAGTATTTTTTAAAAACCCACCAAATCATTTGAAGGTATAACTAATAAAAATAATTACTTATAACATTTAATGTAATTTATTTTCAGTATTACTGTGTGCTATTGATGGTTAAGATTATACTTCAACATTAATTTTTATCTTATCATGAGCACAAGTGTTTGTAGATTGTTTTTGGTTGTAGTTCAAAAGTGACCCAAGTGTTTATTTGGATGATATAAATTATAAATAAATGCACAGGAGGGGTTTAAACATTCCTCCTGTTAGAATATTATTGAAATGGAGTGTTTTCCTTACTTTGTTAGCTTTGAGTGCCACCTGCTGGCTAAGAACTAGGACATGGTGGTTCCTTCCTTAATTTAAGACATTGCACTAAAATAATTAAATGAATTTTGTATTTACTGATCCATTTTTCCCTATAAATACAAATTTTATTCTGTAAATACAAAGGTGGAAGCAGTTAGCCAATTTGCAAGGCCTAAGTCCAAACCAGGCTCCCTGTAATATCCAATGCCTTTTTTTCTCCTTACCAACTTATCTCAAGTATCCACTTTACATTTGCAAATAGACTGAAAATTAGAATATATCAAAGATCTTTTCAAAACACTCATATTTCAAGCAAGGAAACAGGTCCTGAAAAGACTTACTTTACTGAACAATGAAGAGTTATTCCTCCACAATAATTTTCCTCTTCAATTCTGGTGACACTGTGACAGAATCTATCAGCCAGATCCTATTCAAATTTTGGGAAACATCCCAACAAATTTCTTTGTTATGAGGGATGTCCTTTGCATTGTGGGATATTAATGTACCTCACTGTGGAAAGTCTACAGACAATATTTTAAGTGTTCCTGGGGTACAAAATCTCCCCTTATTGAGAATCATAACCCTTTATAATCTGGCATGGTTTTCTATCCAGGTGTTACAACTCTAAATTAAAATGCATCTGTACATTATGGTACAGAGACAGTACTGTAATCAGTTTATTTGTCAAAAAAATGAACCCAAAGTTCATCCAAAAATGAAGGGAGATTGAGGATAAAAGGGATTTTGTAAGAATTTCAGAACCACTGTTTTTGTATTTTGGGTTTTTGAGTGATCTAATTGAGAAGGGATTCTATGGGGAAGGTAGATCTAATCAGGTCCTCAGAAGTCCAAGATACATGGTTTATGTAATATAGTCCTAATTTTAAAAATATAAGACATTGGAAGAAGGAAAAAATGGAAATGTTTACTCTTTGCTATGTCAGTATCATGAAATATCATTGTATAGTTAGAAAATATTCAAATAGAAATGCAAAACAGCAAGTATAACAAATGAATAGAGACACAAAAAAAACTCAACTTTGGTGATTAGACAGTCTTGATTTCACCTCTAAAATTTCTATAAAACTCACTTTCCTTTTATTATTTTAATTGAACAGTTTTTTCATCTTTGTTTCTTTTATAAACGAGTATGTATGCAATAGCTTTCTCTTTGTTTTGAACTTTTAGTATCTTATAGTTCATTTAGTTCATAAATAATGCCAGATGAGTGGGTGTGTCATAGTTTTCTAAAGTTCCAGTTAGTTGTTTTTAAAGTCATCTAAAAATAGTAAAGCTAAATAGTAAAACTAGAAGAGATGCTTTTCAAAAAAACTATTGAAAATAAATTAGAATATTAGGACACTAAGTTATATTGGCAATACTACTTTATACTTCACAAAATGGATTCACAGATGTTACCTCATTTCATTCTCTAAGTAATTTGCCTAGAGACACACAGCTGGCAAGTAAGTGGCTTACAACCTAGTAAGCGACATGAATCTAGATCTCCTGACTAAATCAGTTTTTGTTTCACTGGGCTATCTTTGCCTCTTCACCATAAATATTGCCAGTGAATTTTGCTTTAGAAAATTTATAATTAGCTTTAGATCTACCATAGGAAGACTAAAAACAGAGTTCTGATCAGAATCCGGAAAAATAAATGCACGGTGGGGGGGGGGTTGTTTGGGAGAGGTTTCTGTATCTGACACTAAAGATACGTCATATATATGTATCAGTTCACTGAAAATTAGAATTATCTTTGGGACAATGCCTTTAACATCCTTAGTATTGGGAAGAAGTTTGTAATCCCCTTTTTAGCAGGAGCTATAATAGGTGAGCAAATGTTTTTACAATTTCTTTCTAAAGTAAGGCAAGTGTAGTAAACTGGGAAGTAAAGTTGAAAATTTATGTTAATTTTGGTGTCTAGAAAGGTGAAGCAAAACAAGTTTGTTTAAAACCTTGATCCTTATTTTCTTATGTGTGTAGCTTTTGTTTTTGTTTACTTTAGGTTTTTAAGATTTACCATGTTTTTTATTAATGTACTTAGTAAAATGAAAGTTTATCAGTACAGATCAATTTTATTTTTATAAATCTAAACTTTCTATTTTATATCAGCGTCCATAGTATTGTTATAAAACTTAAAACCAATAATTTTTCCATAAAATTGTACAAAAAATGGTGATGAGTAACAATAAGTTTAAGAAAGTACTATGTCCTTGGGTTAAAATATTATGCCAGTCTACTTTTACTTACTTTAAATCCTGAGCCTAAACTAAGCTGTATTGGTGACTAATCTACAAAGAAAATAATTTACACGAAATATTTTATACTCAAATACAAAAATTAGATTTCACATTGTGTATGTTTTTGTCTGTGTATCTAGTTACAATATTTGCTTTCAAAATTACAGTCTGCTGCAAATTCTGAGACTACAAACTCAACCATCTCCCGAGAGGCCAGCACCCAGTCCTCATCAGCCACCACCAGCCAAGGCTATGTTTTACCAGAAGGCAAAATCATGCCAAACACCGTTTTTGTTGGTGGAATTGATGTTAGGGTATTGTATTCATATTTTATTTATATTTTAAAATATTTTATGAATGATGGGATTTAGGCCCTATTGCAAACCTGAGGTTTTTTGTAGTTCATGTAGGTTTGAAATTTATTTTGTTTTTAACCCATAGAGACCAAAAATATTTGACAAAACAGGTAGTTTGGGGTACTTTTGGAAGATACTTCCACCTCACCAAATCTCCTTGTATAGTAGAATTAAGATTTTGAATGCTGACTTTTTACTCTTAAACTTTTTCCTATAGATGGATGAAACTGAAATCAGAAGTTTCTTTGCTAGATATGGTTCAGTAAAAGAAGTGAAGATAATCACGGATCGAACTGGTGTGTCCAAAGGGTGAGCAAAACATGCTTACTATAAACCAACAAGAATATCTGACCTCTAACATGTTAGAGCATGAGAGAAGAATATTTTAAAACAGTATTCTGACATTTGTATAAATGAAATTTGTTGCTTTGTTAAATTTGTCATGGATAAAAATTTGTTCTCAGCTTTTTTTAAAATAATTTTCCTAATGATTGTATTTCAGTATTTTTTAAAATATTTTTTTAGTTATAGATGGGCTCAACACTTTTATTTATTTATTTTTCTTTATGTGGTGTTGAGGATCGAATCCAGTGCCTCACATGTGATAGGCTCTATCACTGAGCCACAACACCAGCCCTGTATTTCAGTATTTTCTATATTTATTTTACACAAGTGTGTTCATTAGTTTTATCAAAGAAGTGCTTTATTTGCACATTTCACAGTATCTTAAATTTAACTATAGTTAGGATTTTTTTGTTAATGAATGAGGTTCACACACTACCTTAATCTTAGCACATTCTGACACAGATCAGGTTAAAAAAACATTTGCAGAGGGTCTATTTTAATATCTTAAAATTATTTATCATAGTATATTATTCATTTTTTATCATTATCACTTCTATTATTTCATAGACAACTAGGAGTTCTAAATCCATACTATATGGTAATGATTTTATATTTAATTTGTCTGCCTTTCTAGCTATGGATTTGTTTCATTTTACAATGACGTGGATGTGCAGAAGATAGTAGAAGTAAGTAGTAGTCTTACGGAAAACTTAACATAGTTTATTGATAACAGTGTTTAATGTTGAGTCCTGAGTATACTAAGTCTTGTGTAAAATATGAAGATATATATTTGCTGTTCCTGTTCAAAATCAAAACTTAAGAGTAATCTTATATAACTTGTCAGAACCTGTTTATTTTGGAGACTTTAGCTTCATGAAATAGAGACAGACAGGTTTGGAGACAGAGTGAAAGGGTTTTGATCAAATTCTACTTGATACCTCTTGGCTTTGATTAGTATAGTAAGTAATTAAGGTAGCTTCATTGTGACACATTTTTATTTTATACATATTTATCATTGATCTTATCTGATGATAGGATCCCTCCTTTTTATTTGTTCTTTTTAGATATACATGACACTAGAATGTATTTTGACATGTTACATATACATGGAGTATAACTTATTAAAATTAGGCTCTCATTCTTGTGGTTGTAAATGATGTGAGTTTCACTGGTAGTGTATTCATATATGAACATAGGAAAGTTATGTCTGCTTCATTCAACTGTTTCCTGTTACTGTCCCGTACTCGTTTCCCTTTATTCTCCTTTGTCTAATCCACTAAACTTCTATTCTTCCCTCCTCACCTTATTGTGTGTTAGTATCCATATATCAGAACATTTGGCCTTTGTTTTTGGGAGGTTGGCTTATTTCACTTAGCATGATAGCAGATCCATATATTTACCAGCAAAAGTCATAGTCATTCTTCTTTATGACTGAGTAATATTTCATTGTGTATATATATATATATACACCACATTTTCTTTTTCCATTCATCTGTTGAGGGGCATGTCGGTTGGTTTCATAGCTTAGTTATAAACACTGATGTGGCTGTGTCACTAAAGTATGCCAATTTTGAGTCCTTTGGGTATATAATGAGGAATACTGGGCCAAATGGTGGTTCCATCCTGAGTTTTCCGAGGAATCTCCATACCACTTTCCATAGTGGTTGCACCAATTTGCAGTCCCACCAGCAATTTATGAGGGTAACTTTTTCCCCACATCCTTGCCAACATTTATTGTGATAGAAATTTTAAAGGACTTGGTATGTGTAGGCAAGTCTTGAAAGATATAAAAATTAGAGTTTTGTTATTGCTTTGTTTTCAGTCACAGATAAATTTCCATGGTAAAAAGCTGAAACTGGGCCCTGCAATCAGGAAACAAAATTTATGTGAGTAAAAATGACATTTTTCTTGTTGACATATCTATAACTTTTCAGAAAACTAAAAATAGGTTTTGTTTTATTTTTATTCTTTAAAAAGGTGCTTATCATGTGCAGCCACGTCCTTTGATTTTTAATCCTCCTCCTCCACCACAGTTTCAGAGTGTTTGGAGTAATCCAAACACAGAAACTTACATGCAGCCTCCAACCATGATGAATCCTATAACTCAGTATGTTCAGGTAAGAGTTGCCTACATTTCTCTTATTTATTTCAGCCTTCTTGCCCTCTGAAATTATATCCATAGTTTCTGTAATAAGTGATAATATGGTCCCTGTTGGAATACTTGAGAGTCTCACTTTTGTTGAAAATCCCTCATTCTTGGGGTTTTTCCTTATGCTAAGCTAAAACCTCCTCCTGTGTACTTCATAAACTTTTATCCGATAACCTCTATGGCCATATAGAATAGTTTCTTCCTCCTGTGATAAATCCTAAAATATTTAAAGGAAGCTTTCATTTTGTTCCTGCTTAGTTTATTTTTTTAAGTTTTCAATTCTACTTATTCTTTATTTGTAGTGATTTACAGATACCTCCTTACATAGGTTACTGATTTCTGGACTTAATATAGTTCTAGAATGAATAGATATCTAATGTTAATGTGTTTTACCCTATCTATAAACTGAGTTTCTGGCATATAATTGTCTGGTCCTGTTTAATATTTAAAATGGAATTTAATGTACTTATTATTGCCATTGGTGAGAAATAACACTTATTTTCTTCAGTTTGATATTTTCTTTGCCAGAAAAGAAACAAAAAAAATAGTTTTACAATATCTCTGTTTACATTTTTCATCTGCCTGAAACACAAGAGTGTATCTTTTTTTGTTCTAAACAACATAATAGAAGAAAAAACCCATTTGTCTTCCTTTCTTTGTTCTCTCTTCCTCTTATCTTTTCTTCCCCCTCACTTCCTTTTCTCTCTCTTTTTTCCTCCCCTCTGTCTTTCTCTGTCTCTCTATGCTAGGAATCAAACCTCAGCCTTGTATGTGCTAGGCAAGAAACCGTTTATCATGAACCATTACCAATTCTGTGTATTTGTGTATGCTACTATTTGTTTTCAGTCAATAAACATTGAAGCACGTAAGACATTTTACTGACCCGTTTCTGGCTTTGGATTATGCTGCCCTTAACTTTTAGAAGTGAAGTACAGAAAAGAACATAAAGACCAGAGGGGGTACTACAGATTACCCATCAGTAGTACCCAAGAAATCCAATACAGTGTAAAAATTTTATTACAAAAAAGCAGATATATTAATTTAACTTACATGGAAATCTGTCTTAAAGTCTTGTCGCCAATGTAAGAAGATACTTTTGGGGTAGGATAAATATACAAATGAGGTGAGTGGAGGCTTGGAAAACCAGTCAGGTTGTTATTTAGACCTTCTTTTTCTGCCCAAAAAGCTAACATTTGGCAGAGAGTATTTTCTTCTTCATAAAGCCAGTCATTGATTTAGAATCCTGAATTGTTACGTATATAAAAATATATAATTATACAATGAAATATATATAAAACTAAGTTTTCTTAATATTTTTGTTATATTGGGAATAATATTCCTTAATTCTGATTTTTTAAGAAAATTTGCCTTATTTAGTCCATTCTTTCTGTAAATTTTGTTTTTCAGGCATATCCTCCTTATCCAAGTTCACCAGTTCAGGTTATTACTGGATATCAGCTGCCTGTTTATAATTATCAGGTAATTTAATGGAAAACAAAAATGACTAATGTTAGAATATTATTGTAACTTTTACTTATATAAATTTCTCAAAAGTATATTGTTTAAACCATGAAGTATGCCTAAAAATCCAAGAAAAATAGAATTAGTTTAGAATTAAATGTATTTTAAGATTACTTATATGTTACTTGGAAGTAAGGTAATGTTATTTTGACTAGGAAAGAACTTTTTTCTAAAACTGTTCTGTAAGACTTAGTATCTCTTATTTCAAGACACATTCTTTCATCTTTGCCGCCAAATACATAAAGCACCCAGTCTGACTTTTACTTTTCTAGGAGGATAGGTTAAAAAAAAATCATTACCCAATTTTTAGAGCACAAAATTCTAATTCCATTTCATACTGTGTATGTTCACTAGCTCCTATAGAATAGTAGTTCTCTGTATTTTTTGTATATATAATGAGCATATGTATGACTCATGACCATATCTATAGTAATAATTTCACAGAACACTATTTGAATATTACCAAATGCTAACTCCAGAAATTTGAGAAAAAGGTGGGGTTTATATGTAGAAATAACAAAAAGAACCATACATCTTTCTTCTATTTCCTATATTTGTAAAAATGTGTAGGAATAGTTGAATAATTTCTGTTTCCTTTTTTTAAGATGCCACCGCAGTGGCCTGCTGGGGAACAAAGGAGTTATATTATACCTCCGGTAAAATAAATTAGCCAAACATATTTCCTATTCTTTATTTAAATGTATTTTATTGTTTTATGTTTTTTGATCTTTTGTCATATCATGTGTATATATAAATATTTTAAATGCCCCTCTATGTTATGTGTTACATTTAACTTTTTTGTTCACCCAGTTATGTGTTTCCATAGGAAAAACTGCAATTTGTTTCCCAAATTTTTGTGTGCTCAAGTCATGGCTGCTCTGTATGTGAGAAGTGCTCAGTTACCTGTTGATAAATTATGTAATCCAAGAAAGTAGTATTAATACAGATTTAGAATTAGCATTTAATCTACCCAAATCAGCCTCTGGCTTTGCTACCCCTAAAATCCGTTGAAGAGAAACAGAAGTGTTTTGCTGTTAATATGTTTTAAATAAGAAAAGGAATAAAACAAAAGTGGGTGCTGACCTCTGAAACACCTGAGCTTTTGTTACCTTCTGTCTTTTATCAGGATTGGATATTTGAAGGATATTTTGGTTAGAATTCTCAGGCACTCTCATAATATAGTTTCTTTTTCTTATATTTTTAATTCTTATTACTTTAATATTGAAAAGAAAATTTAAAAGGTAAAAAATAGTGTAGCAGAACCACATTAAACCTTAAGATATTTGCTATTGCATTTTAGCTATTCAGCTTAAAACAAAATTTCTGAAATAGCGTAGCAGAGTCTACATTAAACCTTAAGATATCAGCTCATTATTTTGAATACATTATTTAGAAATGTATCTGTGTATTTTTTTAATTACACTTTTTATCATTTCAAATGTAGGGCTATACAGCTGTTAACTACCATTGTAATGAAGTTGATCCAGGAGCTGAAGTTTTGCCAAATGAATGCTCAGTTCATGAAGCTACTCCATCCTCTGGAAATGGCCCACAAAAGGCAAATATCTAATTTTGTTTACTGATATGTATATTTTATATTTATTTTTTCAAGGTTAAAAGATAGCCCCTTAAGAAGCAGTCATTTTTGCCCAGATTTAAAGATGAAGCCATAAACTTTAGAGCTTAAGTGATTCATTAGTTTTTAGCAATTTAATATAAAGGTTAATAAGATTTCAGACATCCCCAAAGTTTCAGTATACATATGTAGTTTCTGATTCAGCAATCCTTTTCTCATCCCAATTTCATCATTTTAGGGTTTTCTGAATTTTACTTTAATAAGTATTGTATCAGTGTGATTTAGCAAAATGCTAGACAGGTTTTTGCAACTTTACTCTTCGAAAGAGGAATTAGAATCAACTATATTTTAATCTTTTGCAAGTGATTTTAAACATTTACTTATCTAAATAGTATATGGTATTCTCTCCATAACGTTATATATAATGCATCTCTCAAGAATGGTGGAGGCAGTAGTAATTATTCAAATACTGAAGAAGCAGGTAGTATCTGTTTTTAATTATTAGAGTGGTCACCTAAAATAACAATACTCTCACCCTTGAATTCTGCTACATGTTGTTTTGTGGAAGTGTAGAAGCAGTTGATACACTGGTAATAAGCATAACCTTGAGGGATTCCATTGGAAGAATCCTTCATTTATTTGTTGGTGGATGCCAATACCATACCATTTTTGTTGGTGGGTGAGGAAAAAAATGTTGAGAACTACTGAACCACAGAGCAAAAAATATTCCTTGATTTGATACACAGTTTAAAAGTTGACAAAATGCTAAAATAGCTTATAGTAAAATCACATTATGAGGTTTTTGTCCTGAATACTTTTCTTGAAACATTAATAAGAGTTTTTCTCTAACAAATTTAAAAGCTTTAAGCCAAATATCATGGAGTTTTAATAACTTCAGCCTTTTAAACTAGTATTATATCACTAAGATTCTGAAACAATTCTTTAATTTGGAAGAAAATGTACATAGTAATTGATATTTGGTAAGAATTATGAATCACATAAGAATTCTTAGAAATAAGCATAAATGTTCACTAAACTTTAAAAAAATCTGTTAACAGTGAAAAAAGTAGTCTTTATATTACCATGAACTTTTGTGTTTCAGAAATCTGTGGACCGAAGTATACAGACAGTGGTATCTTGTCTATTTAATCCAGAAAACAGACTGAGAAACTCTCTTGTTACTCAAGATGACTACTTCAAGGTATGAAAGGAATATGACACAGGGTAAAAAGTAGATGTGTTAGTCTTAAATTACCTTTTCCTCTTTATAGTATATCCATTTTTGAGATTACTTAAATTAGCATTTAATTAACTAATCCAGTAAACCACTGTGAGTGGGTTTTATCTAGCAGTGTGTTTTGTAGTGCTTAAACATTAATAAAGTGTAGTTTCCCTTTAAGGGAAGAGACTTGGAATAAGCAGAAACTTGTAACTTAAAGAGTTCATGAGAGGAGACAGTTGAAGGAAAACATGGGCTTTACCAACTAGTAAAAGTAAAATTTAGAAGGCAGAACTTAACATATGGATATTGGATTAAAGATGACAAAAGCAATGGACTGCTCAGACATTATGCTTGAACAGTGTGCAGAGGGAGAAGGGATAAAGTTAAAGCAGTTAAAAAGAACTGAATTAGAAATGAAAATTGAGTTGGTGAAGTGGATGATAAATGTGGATTTTTAAATTTAAGAAAGATCTGTTTTCTAATCGTTCTATCCACCTTGGACAGATAATTTAATTCTTATTAAGACTCCATATTTGGTTTTGCATGTTGTATGCAAGTGCACACACATGTGCGCATATTGGGGATTGAATTGAGGGCCTTGAACATGTTAAACATGAACTCTGCACTGAGCTGTATACCCAGACCTAAGACTCTAGGTTTTACAAGTCGAAAATGAGGATGTACAGTACAATTCTCTAGAGTCCTTTTAGTTCTGAGTCTGGGAATAAGAAAAAAAATGTAACTGATTAGTCCAGTGAGAAGGAATATTGTGTTTGGTAAGGAAATAAGGTTTTCTTTAATAGCATATTTATAGAGATTATAATTTGTCATATAATAGTTTTTAGTATATTCACAGAATTGTGCAGCCAATCAAGTTTAGAATATTTTTTATTTTAACATATTTAAAATATATTTAATGTATATTTAAATATATTTTAACAATATCAAGTTTAGAATATTTTAATTACTCCAAAAATAAAGCCCCAGCCCATCACGTTTCCCAAATCTTACATTTCCTCAAGCCTTAAACAGCCACTAATTTACTTTCTTTTTTTGTAGACATTTTATATACACAGAATTATAAAATACTTGGATTTTTGTGATTATCTTTAATTTAGTGAAGTACTTTCAAGGTTTGTCAATGTTACAGCACTTATAAGTTCTTTAGAAATTTTTATTAATATGCCAAATTTTGTTTATTCTTTCATCAGTTGATAAGATGTTTCGATTTTTATAACCTGTTGGCTGTTATTAATAATGCTATGAATATTCATGTAGAAGTTATCATATGGACATATATTTTTATTTCTCTTGAATACATATCTAGGAATGGAATTGTGGAGTCAGCAATGGTAACTGTTTAACCTTTTGAGGAACTGCCAGAATTTCAGAATTTGTCCAAAATTGCTGCATCATTTTAAATTCAAAGGGAAGTTTTTAACTACCACTTTTATGTGTTAACAGGGAAGGAGATTAGCTTTGATTTATCTGTAAATGAGTATCTTAGGATATAACTTAAAACCTTTTTAATGGGTATACCAAAGCACTTATGTAATGCAGAAGAGTAGAGCCATAGCAGCATTAAGTTACCTTTTTTGTAACAGGACTTAAGCATTTTTGCTTTTAAAGTTGATGCTCTTTTGTTGCTTCATTCTACTTAGAACTGTACAGCATAGAAAGAATAGCTTACCTTGCCCAAAGTTCTGAAGTTTAAGTAGGTAGGACATAAATAATTTGTTTGAAAGCAGAAAATACCCTTCAAATGGTTTTCTCCTGGTATTAGACAAAGGCCTCCCTTTGAACTTCAGAGCTTTATGCTCTTCTGGGTTATAAATCAGAAGTTGGAAGCCTGCAGTTGACTGACATCTTTTAATTGACTTTTTTTTAATTGACTAAATGTTGTTTTTATTGAAGTTGTACGCATCCAGGCACTTGAATACATTTATTTCCATGTTAAATTCTACTCTTCATTCTTAATTCTATCCCCTTCATAATCTTATGTTTCCTATCTGAAAATATGAGTGATTGTGGCCACTTTTCTAGGCTATATAACCTATTGGGATACAACCCTGTTGACCAGTTACATGGTTTCTAGAAATCACTCTTTTATATGACAACTTAATCTAATTCCTAGGAAAAGGACGCAGTAAAGCTAATTGTACAGAGAAGAAAATATTATGCTGTTAATGGTTTATTGATCTCCATTTCTCTTTTCTAAGACCTTCCTTTTATCTGCACTTTTGTAGGCAACATAGAGTGAAAAGAAAATTTTCCATTTTATAAGTCAGTCCCCTCTATAGGCATCCTGCATCTTAAAATTTTACCAATTGGAGATAGAAATTAGGACAGACTTTGCCATGATTCCATAAAACAGTGTAACAACTATTTCCATATCATTTATATTGTATTTGTTGTTATAAGTATACTACAGATTATTTAAAGTATATCGGATGCACTGGGGATGTAGCTAAGCAGTAGTGCTTGCTTAGCATGTGGAGACCCTGGGTTTGATCACAGCACTTCAAAGAAAGAAAAAGTATACCAGAGGATTGCGTAGGTTATATGCAAATACGTTGTTATTTTATATGAAGGATTTGAACTTCCTGTATTTTGAGGTTCCCAGGACCAATCAACCTGAGAGGACAACTATTAAAATTTTTTCTCTTCACTTCCTACAAAATTATTTATCTTCATAAGATAAAACATACCAAAACTTACATCTTTTAACCTAAAAATGGGATTTCAGACTGGTGTATAATGTTTTTCTCAAGCTATGCTTTCTACTAGATGCAATTCAGTTAGTAAAAACAATACTTTTAAGAATTATATGTATTTTTTACCCTCTGTCTTTGGGATACTGCATTAAGAAGTACTTAAAATTATTGATTCTGCATTCTTTATTTCTGGGTTCACTGGTATTGTTTTTTTAATTTTAATAAAATTAGCCAATCTTGGTGCATTTGTTATAGCAAAGTTCAGGAATGCTTTTCCAAGGGGTCTCCTTTTTTCTCATTTATGATATGTAAACTTAAAAAAATATGTCAGGTATTTTGCAGCTCTTTTAGGCCAATAGTGTTAATAGGAAAATTTCAGTGAAGTAAAGACTATTTCTATCTTTTCTAGGATAAGAGAGTGCATCACTTTAGAAGAAGTCGGGCAGTGCTTAAATCTGTTTGATCTTCTCTGCTAACTTTCTAGTCTCAGGGGAAGTTGCTGGTTTTGAATATTAAGAAGAGACTGGAAGTTGTTCACTACTATAGAAATTTAATTCTAAATTTTGACATTGCACTCAGACTTTCTATATAAGTTATGTTAGATTAGTTGTACTTTACATTGAAATTGTTCTTTATTAGATGTTTATTTAGAAATTGGTTCTTTGTTCAGTATATAGATAAAAGTAAAAGATATATGAAAGTAAATAAGTATAAAAACAATTTCAAATAATTGAAAAAATAGTTGGAATAACTTAAGATTTATCTGTAAGGTTTTTTTGGAATTGGCATTTTAAGAGATTAGAAGCAAATACTCATATTCAAACAATTGTTTTAAAAAACTTATTTTGAAAGGTCAGAATTTTGATAGTTTGAATACAAGCATTTCACTTCTCCAACAAGTACCTTTGAACAGTACAGTATTTACACTATTGTGCTTTGCATTTATTATTTGCCTAAAAATTTACCACAAAACAGCATTTTTTAAACTGCATTTTTAATCAGTGGAACTCAATATACAGTTATCTTTATTCAAGTCGTCTTATCTAAACCCAGTAAAACAGATTCTAAACAAACAATCCAATCAGTGGGTCTTAGATTTATTCAGAATATTTTATCCTTTATCTAGAATCCACATACACACACAACATATACACACATGCATATACACACACATACCCTGTTTGATTGGGATGATAATTAGGATAACTAAAATTCTGGGCCTAATTGTTTTTAAAGAATCCAAGACAAACTAAACTTTACTAGGTATATAGCTTCTTAGTGAGTTAACATTCTATTTTTTTCTTTTATTTTTTCCTTGAAATGCTAAACTCAATGGCTGTATCTTAAATTGTGCAAAATATTGGTATTAAAGAATGCTGAAATTTTTTTATGTCACTTAAAGGTTAATCAGAGTATCTGAAAGGAATTGTTTTTGTAAAAACATTTAAAATATTATTTATGGTAGAGTACATAGATTTTTATTTACTTTTTGTTAGTCTACTATATTTCCTTTTGTAAAGTAAGATGTCCCTAAGAGTCAAAGAAGGTAATTTTGATATTTATAAACCAAAAAAGTTGTTTCAATAACATATTTCAAGAACATGCTAGAGTCAAAGTTAATAATCTGTTTCTAGACTAGCTGGTCTCCATATTGAACATTGTGCTTTGTTACAGACAACTAGAATACCGGGGCTTCTGTTGTCAGTCTTCTTTTTCTAGTCTGTACTCCTGTTCTTCCAGGACGTTTGCTTTTAGAACTGTCAACCTAAAGAAGTCAAGTAGCCATAGGAGCAGTTTGAGGGGTAAGCCTGGGAAAGGTAGCAGTGAGGTAATACCTTCCTAAGGGAAGTAGTTGTATCAGAATCATTTGATCTGCCATGGAAATGAGTTTAAAGTGCCTTCCTGGCCTTCCATTAGCCCCCTTTCCCAAAATATGGAGACTCTGTTTATGCCTAATCTGAAATAATTACCATGGGTCCTGTCATCAGTGCCCATTATGGTCTGTAAGTTTTAATAATTTTCATTCTGGATCTGAAGGCCAGAGTCTTTTAAGGATCCCCAAAGAGGATTTTGGAATTTTTTTAAACCTCAGAATTAGAAAATATCCTGAAATTTGTTCTTTTAAATATACCTTTTTTTTTTTTTGGTGCTGTCATTCTGTGATTATTAAATCTCTAGCTCACTATTAATGATACCTAAATTTTGAAGAGTCAATTCTAATTGTCCCAATATGACCTTAAGGAAAAGTAAGGAAATAAACTTTTATTTGTCCACTACTTTGTTGGAGTGAGGTATTTAGAGTATGGTAGAAAGAAGAGGCAAACTCCTGAACCTTTCAAAATGGAAGATTAATTTTAAACTTAGAATATGTTTCTATAACCTATTGCTGATACTGTCTTTGCATAAATGAATAAAGAAACTTTTTTCAAAAGTATTTTTGACCTATTTGTTGTCATATTATCTAAAGAAATGGGGAATTGGCTTAGTGGTAGAGTGCTTACCTCGCATGTGAGGCCCTGGGTTCGATCCTCCGCACCACATATAAATAAATAAAATAAATGTATTATGTCTATCTACAACTAAAAAATATATATTTAAAAAGAAAAGAAACGGGGAATTGGGTAGTGTATGATGAGGTTTAGATCCTTGAGATTTAAAGGCATAAATATTGCTCAATTTACTAAACTGGTAGCTTAATTTTAAAAGTAAATTTTGGTACATTGTATTTTGTTTGATTTCTCTTAGAAGAAATGAGATGTATGTGTGTGTGTGTGTGTGTGTATACTCATATGTATACATGTGTACACATATGCACATATATACATGTTTTCGAGAGAAAATACATTCCTCCTGTGTTGAGTTGGAAATGAGTAACAGTGGATTCCATTGCAATGCATGAACAGAAAGTCCTTATCAGGAATGCTGGAGAACATGTCTAACTGCAGTCCCATGACGAAGGACCCTTTCATTTTGGACACTGAAATATTCTATCTGTTGTACACTTTGAGCCTAATTTCCTGATCCTGTGTTTTGGGATATTGTGCTTGTCCAACAAAACTTGGATTTGTCATATTGCAATTATTTCGTATAAGGATGTAACCAAAAAAATCAATATTCATTTCCTCTTCCAATTCTAGTTCTAATACTCTTGAGTTCTGTAATTTGAGGCCATGGAAGAAGAAATTCTCCCCTCTAAATACCCCTGTGCTATATTTTATGAATTGGTAGCCTCTTATTAACTGAGTCATAACCAGAAAATTGATGACACCAAGAGTGGCTTCTGTATTACAAAAGATTATTCAATGTATAACAATTTGCTGAAAATTAGTAATCTTTAGATGTGTATGTATATAGTATATGTATTGTATATACATAGACACATACGTGTATACACACATGAATATGTACATACTAATCATTATTCAGAATATTTGGTTATCTCTGACCAAGCTCGATGTTTTAATATTTTAAAACCCCCAAAGTGGACTTACATGTATCATAAAACAGTTGCTTTAAACTACTTGATGATATATCAAGTATAATTCCAGTTGAAGATTACTACATAGTTTTTAACAAAAAAATATCTTTGAGATTAAAACTTCCATATAACCACTTTTTTGTAAAAAAAAAAAATTGTTTTGAGCTTTGTTTTTTAAAAAACTTCCTTTGTAATTGTTTAAAGTAACTATTCAATATTGATAACACCCTATTGAAAAAGTCATTGACTTTGGAAAAAAATATTCTATAGCAGTTCCCTGTAGTTGTAAAACCCTTCTACCCACTCTAAAATTCTCTTGGTTGCTTTTAAAGGTAAACTCATAAAAATGGGCTGCCATACTGTTTAATCGCCTTGCCTGCTTTCATTGCTGTCATTTGAGGGTAATAAGGAGCAGCAGTGATAAGGCATCCAGCCACTCTGCTTTCACAAAGATGGCAATACAGAGGGTGGGGAACCATAAGGGAGAGAAAAGCAGCAGTATTTTCCATTGACCAAGTCTTGCAAATATGGCCAGCTGTTGAGTATGATCATTTGGAATCCCGGAAACACTTCTTCTAGATGAGGATTGCTCCTATACATATTTTGATAACTGTAATCTAGGCCTTCCTAGCATTTTATGTAATATGTTTCTCTGTGTGTAACTGATTCTTTTGAGCAATTCCTCACCACCCATCAAAGACTCCGAGTTTTCCATCTGTAGATAGTACATTTGGTGGTAGAAAACAATAAACATAAGAAGTTCAAACTATAAACATTCGTTTTTGAATGTTCATGCAAAATATTCAATCTGCATAGCAAAGAAATGATAGGTAATTCTGTATTGCATTTAGAGTTAAAAACATCTGTCCAATATGGCTGTAGCTGTAGGCCAATACCAAGAAAATGCAAAAAAATTGTCTCCTGGTACAGAAGTTGAAAGTACCACTGTACAATTAAGCTCTATGGTAGCTATATTTTACATTTTTAACTGGTCTGAAACAGAAAGTTTTCTAGTTGAGTCTCTAGTTCATTTTCCCAAGGCAAGACTTTGTATCTTATGTGCACCTCCATTAAGGCAGCATGCCAGGAATATGCCTTTTCCCACATATAAAACTCCCAGATACCAGTTCAGTAGGTCTTTAACAGTAGAATAAATGCTTGCTTGATGGAGATATTCAGGTCATGAAAGCTCTTTATAAATTTGAAGCAATAGTAACATTTCAAGCAGTTCAGAAAGTTGGATTTTTTATAATCCATAATTAGTTCTTTTTACAGAAAACAAATCCAGGAAAAATACATTAAGGTTGCAGCCAACAACTATTGCCTTTCCCCCAGAATAAAATGGATCCAGAGGCACACTATTCTGATTCATTCTTGGTTGAAATATTTATAGAAAAAGGCAGAGCTGACAATTGACCTGCACTTATGGACAAGGTGTGTCCCCTTTTTCTTTATATTCTTGTTGAAATAAAATAAATCTGATTGAGCCAGTGAAAATGGAGAGAGGTAATATAAAATTCAGATGTTGTTTCCTCTTTGTTTTTTACCTATGCTGACCTCTTAGTGTTGGGCTGCTTCAATATGTGAGTAAAATCTGAATAATATTAAAACAGCATACCTGCTATATAAAAAAAAAGTATAACTCTTTCCTCTTACATGACTTGGTTGCTGCTCCTCATTTTGGGTAGTGGTGGTGTGTCTCTCTTGGATAAAATTAAAACGTGTATATTCACCATAAATGTTACATCAGTGATTAGTTCAAATCAGTATTTGATAGACAAGTGTCCTCCATGATACCAGTCTCACAGGGAAGTCAAAGAACATCCGAACCATCATCTTGGATGCTTTTCAGAGATGTAAATTGCTGGAGCCTATTCTTAGATGCTCTTATTCAGGTCAAGCAGGCCTACATATCTGCACTTTTACCAAGTTTTCCAGGCGATTCTGATCTGTACAACAGGTACTTTGAGAAATACTTCCCTAGGTGAGGATCTCTCAGGCTACCCTTAGTTTTAGTATCGCTAGATTCAGAAAATGTCCCCGTCCTGTTCAATATGGCCCCTAAGGGATTTTGTTGGCTTAATTCAGCTTTCTAGCAAGCCTGTGCCCAGGAGAACCAGTTGTCCATAGTCAAGGGTAACAGGCTGAAAAGTGAATTGAATGAAGTTTGAAAACCAAGACTTGTGGCCACAGAAGAATGATAAGATGGAATGATTGCAGAGGCAAAGGCAAAGGTGGGTCCCAAAGCCAAGTGCAGGAAAGCTGAGGGCGAGGATGAGGCTCAGCTGGCCCATGGCAGAGTAGACATTATGGAGGCAGAGGTACCGCACTTGTCTTTTGAAGAGAAGAAGCTTGCCTTTGGTCCATTTGGCAAATTTTTAAAATGGTGTTATTCACCCATGACTTTTGAAAAGTATAGCCTGACATTGCTCTTTTTCCTGTCTTAGAATTAATATTTCTTATATCCTCAAGAATTATAATAATAAATTAGCATCAGAAATAATATGTTAAAAGATTAAGTTCCAGAGATAGTCTTGGACATTTAATATCTACATTATTTTTATATCTGTGTTTGCATTTTTAAAATTCATATAATTCACACAAATGTGCATGAAAATAAGTTAATCTTTAAAGAATAATATAACTACCAGAGCTCACTTAATAGTATAAGTATATTCTATTAATTAGAAATTCTCTGTATATCCTCCCTGATCATACCTACTGCTCATTGAGAAGTAACCACCAAATTTAATTTTGATTTAATCTTCTACTAAATACCTTCTTTTTTCATGGTTTTGAACTTTGAAAGGACTTATACAGCATCTTGCTTTTTGTCTGAACATTGTTAGAATTCTACATATTAGAATTTATATTTAATTTCTCTTTACTACATTAGTTGAATATCTTATGATTTGTCCCTTTTCTTGCTAAGGGACAATTGGGTCTTATTTTAAAATTTTTATTATTTAAATTTTAATGATTTAGTTGATTGCTGTTAACATGCTACTGTGAACGTCTTTAAAGCCTTTATGTCTCTGTTCACTTTAGAACTCACCTTGGGATACTAGATATTGAGTTATCACATGCTAGAATGTCATAAAAAGAATATGAACTTGTAAGTTCTAGCCCCTGTCATTTCCTGAGTGAGCATGAACAGGTTTCTCTCTGATCTTCAGTTTCTTCCTCTATGAAGCAATAATTCTAGTATCTATTTAATAGGGTTACTGTGAGATTAAATTGGGCAGCATATTAATGTGATCAGCTTCCTCTCTACCACTACTTGCCAACCTCTCTCTCAGGTTCACCTGGTCTTTAGCCTTTACATTTAATAACCAAAACTTCACAAATATTCCTGGTATGCACTGACCATGGCTTAGTGAATAGGTACCATGCTGTGTTCTAAGATTTTGTGTGCCTTCCTTTGTCAGCAGAAAGCAGCTTATTATGTTAAGGTCTTCAGAATATGTTCTAGAGTGATTCTTTTTCCTGGGAGACCCTTAAATGATAAGAACATCCAACAATCCAGTGATGAGTTTTACACAGAACATGTGGTGTTAGGAACGTGTGACAAAGAAATTTTCTTTCTTTGCAGAATATTCAGTAAGTAGTTCATTATGGTGAAATTATCATAAAATTAACCATTAAAAATGGCTTTTAGTTGAAGAATACCTTGGAAGATGGAAAGATCTCCCATGTTCTTGGATAAGCAGAATTAATATTGTCAAAATGGCTGTACTACCAAAAGATCTATACAGATATAATGCAATTCCTATTAAGGTTCTTATGATGTTCTTCATAGCAATAGAAAAGCAGTTATGAAATTCATTTGGAAAAATAAGAGACCAAGAATAGCCAAATCAATCCTCAGCAAGAGAAGTGAAGCAGGAAACATTACAATACCAGACCATAAATCATACTACAGAGCTATAGTAATAAAAACAGCATGGTATTGGCAC